AGAAGCAATTCTCCATCCCAGTATTGATAACCTTGAAGGGGGTTACGAAGTACATAGAGGGCTTGATAGATTCGGGAGCAGCAGGTAGTTGTATCGATCACCAGCTAGTACAAGAGCTTGACATTGATCTTACACCTGTCACCCCTCCCTTAAGGATTAACACCCTGGACGGGCAGCCATTGGGCACATGCTTAATTACGCACCTGACACAGAGCATTACCCTCCAGATTGGAGTCTTCCACACCGAAACCATTAAACTCATGGAATTCTCATCCCCAAAACAGCCACTCATCCTCGGACACCCCTGGCTTTGTCGTCACGACCCTGCCATCTCATGGCGACAAGGTGAACTACTGTCCTGGTCTTCTACCTGCTTCACCAGTTGTCTCAGCCTACCCTCCATAGCCACCACCATTGAGGACTCTGCCCCTGCAGTGCCACCCACCATACCATCTGAATACGCCCAGTACAGCAATGTCTTCAGCTAATTCAAGGCCTCCACTCTGCCACCACATCGCCCAGGGGACTGTGCTATTGACTTACTCCCTGGAGTGTCCCCACTGAAGGGCCGTGTTTACCCCCTATCAATCCCAGAAAATGAGGCAATTGAGAACTACATTGATGAAGCACTCAAACGGTTTCATTTGTCCTTCTTCTTCCCCGGCTGCATCCAGCTTCTTCTTTGTTGGAAAAAAGGATGGTGGTCTTCGTCCATGTATTGATTACTGTTCCCTGAATGACGTTACGGTCAAGAACCGTTTCCCTCTGATCCCAGCGACCCTTAAACAAGTGGACCACGCCAACATCTATACAAAACTCGACCTGCGGAGTGCTCTTAACCTTGTCCGTATACGTGAAGGCGAGGAATGGAAGATGGCCTTTATCAATGCACGAGGGCACTATGAATACCTGGTCATGCCCTACGGCCTTACTAACGCCCCCGCCGTCTTCCAATCCTTTATGAACGAGGTTTCCCAGGATATGATCAACCGCTTTCTCATCGTCTACATTGATAACATCCTGATTTACTCCCACTCCCTGAAGGAACACATACAGCATGTACAAAGGGTTCTTCAATGGCTCCTTGACCATAACCTTTATGTGAAGACTGAAAAGAGCACCTTCCATGTAACCTCAGTAAACTTCCTCGGTTTCGTACTGACACCTGGAGGGGTCAGCATGGGTGAGAACAAAGTAATCGCCATCAGTAACTGGCCCAAACCCACCACCGTTAAGGAACTCCAACGTTTCATTGGGTTCTCCAACTTCTATCGCCAGTTCATTCAGAACTTCAGTTCTACTGCCACTGCCCTTACCAGCCAAAAGACCCGGACCTTTTAATGGACTGATACCACACTGACTGCTTTCAACACCTTGAAATGCCTCTTCACCTCAGCTCCTGTCCTTCGCAAACCTGATCCGACCCTTCCTTTCACCCTGGAGGTAGATGCCTCCGAAATAGGAGTAGGAGCCATACTCTCTCAGCGGGTGGGAACACCTCCAAAATCACATCCTTGTGCCTTCTTCTCCAGTAAACTATCCCCCGCAGAGAGGAATTACGATGTGGGGAACAGAACTCGCCATCAAGCTGGCCCTCAAGGAGTGGCGCCACTGGTTGGAGGGCGCACAACATCCCTTTCTCGACCTAACAGATCATCGTAATCTGGAATATATCAGAGGAGCCAAGAGGTTAAGCTCCAGACAAGGCTCTCTTCTTCACACGCTTCCATTTTCATGTTACTTACATCCCTGGAAAGAAAAACGTAAAAGCTGATGCTCTCTCCCGCCAGTTTGCCCTTCTGACCAGTAACTCAGACCCTACACCCATTCTTCCTTCCTCTTGCATAATGGGACCTGTACAGTGGGAGGTTCACTCTGCCATACAGGAAGCCCTAACCTCAGACCCGGCTCCTCCTGAAACACCAGCTGGGAAGCGTTACGTACCAGCAGCTGTTAGACCCCAACTGATGCAATGATGTCACACGTCCTTGGGGTCAGGACTACCGGGCATTACACAAACCACCGAACTTCTAGCCCGTAAGTTCTGGTGGTACTCACTGGCATCCGACATCAGGGATTACGTACTCCACTGTCCAGTCTGCGCCAAACCAAAAGCCCTCGTCATCTCCCTTCCGGTAAGCTTCAACCTTTGTCAATCCCTCACAGACCCTCTGGTAACACCACCATCCTTGTCATAGTAGACCGTTTTTCAAAAATGTGTCGTCTGGTTCCTCTTCTTCATTTACCTAACGCCATGGAATTGGCTGAGTGTATGTTCCAACAGTTGTTCCATTTGTATGGGATTCCGGAGGACATCGTCTCTGACTGCGGGCCCCAATTTGTCTCCAGGGTGTGGTGAGCCTTCTGTGACTGACTCGGGGTCGCCCTCAGCCTCTCCTCCGGGTACCATCCCCAGACCAACAGGCAGACGAAGCACATTAACCAAGAAATAGGGAAGTACATCCGCCAACAATGTTCTCCCTCTCCACACGACTGGAATCGGTATATGGCCTGGGCCGAATACGCTCAGAATTCGGCCCGCCTCCGCCTCCCAGGGAAACATGCATTCATTCCTCTGCCTTACTCCATTTCAGTGTGTCCTTGGTTACCAACCCCCCATGTTTCCCTGGGAGGCGGAGCCTGCTACTGTCCCAGCTGTAGACAACTGGTTTCAGCATAGTGAGCGGGTATGGGAGACCGCTCACCAGCATCTGCAGGAAGCGTCTAATACCCAAAAATGCCTGAAGACCGGTCCTGGTCCCTGACCAGGACATCCTCGACCCTCAGATGATTCAGGCATTCCACCATAACCATCCGGATCGTCCTGCTCCCCGACCTCAGGGTCGACCCCCGAACAGACCCACTGGACATCAGTCTCGACGCAGAACGTCGGGTCAGTCCACGACCGTGCCAAACCAGCCTGCCGGACCTCGCCCCCGAGGTAGGGGGCCGCCTCTGCTCCCCCGCCCGCCCACTCCACCCTCCGGTGCCGTTGGGTCATCAGGAGCCTCCCTTGGGGTGGGGGGTTACTGTAAGGTTCTGTATTTGTTTACTTAGTTCACCTTTTTGTTCTTGTACGGAGCCCTGTCTTTCGTTTCTGTTCATTGATTTCACCTGTGTTAGTTACTCACCTGGTCTCATCAGCTCCTTATTTAGTTCAGTTCTTTCTGTTTGTGCCTTGTGAGGTATTGTTTGTTTTGACTGTACTAAGCCTTCTTATAGCTAGTTTATGAGAACCAGTTATAGCCTTCAGTCCTAGTTTTTGATTCTCCTGCCTGTTTGCCTACCTGTGTATGACCATTGCCTGCCTGTGAAGCGCTCTGCGCATGAAACTACACATTTTTCTCCATGAGTATTCCTTACAACAACCTGTAATTTAAATTTATTTTTATTTGGATTTCATGCTATGGACAAAATAGTCCAAAATGGTGAAGTGAAATGAAAAAAATTAATAAAGTCCACCTGTGTGCAATCTAAGTGTCACATGATCTCAGTATATATACACACCTGTTCTGAAAGGCCCCAGAGTCTGCAACACCACTAAGCAAGGGGCACCACCAAGCAAGCGGCACCATGAAGACCAAGGAGCTCTCCAAACAGGTCATGGACAAAGTTGTGGAGAAGTACAGATCATGGTTGGGTTCTAAAAATATATCCGAAACTTTGAACATTCCACTGAGCACCATTTTTAAAATCTATTATTAAAAAATTGAAAGAATATGGCACCACAACAAACGTGACAAGAGAGGGCCGCCCTCCAAAACTCACGGACCAGGCAAGGGGGGCATTAATCAGAGGCAACAACGTGACCAACGATAACCCTGAAGGAGCTGCAAAGCTCCACAGCGGAGATTGGAGTATCTGTCCATAGGACCACTTTAAGCCGTACACTCCACGGAACTGGGCTTTATGGAAGAGTGGCCAGAAAAAAAGCCATTGCTTAAAGAAAAAAATAAAGAAACATGTTTGGTTTTCGCCAAAATGCATGTGGGAGACTCCCCAAACATATGGAAGAAGGTACTCTGGTCAGATTAGACTAAAATTGAGCTTTTTGAAGGAATTGAAGGAATGATGGATGGCGCTAAATACATGGAAATTCTTGAGGGAAACCTGTTTCAGTCTTCCAGAGATTTGAGACTAGGACGGAGGTTCACCTTCCAGCAGGACAATGACCCTAAGCATACTGCTTAAGCAACACTCAAGTGGTTTAAGGGGAAGCATTTAAATGTCTTGGAATGGCCTAGTCAAAGCCCAGACCTCAATCCAATTGAGAATCTGTGGCATGACTTAAAGATTGCTGTACACCAGCGGAACCCATCCAACTTGAAGGAGCTGGAACAGTTTTGCCTTGAAGAATGGGCAAAAATCCCAGTGGCTAGATGTGCCGAACTTATAGAGACATACCCCAAGAGACTTGTAGCTGTAATTGCTGCAAAAGGTGGCTCTACAAAGTATTGACGTTTTTCTGTCTTATTTCTTGTTTGTTTCACAAAAAAAAGTATTTTGCATCTTCAAAGTGGTAGGCATGTTGTGTAAATGAAATGATACAAACCCCCCCAAAATCAATTTTAATTCCATGTTGTAAGGCAACAAAATAGGAAAAATGCCAAGAGGGGTGAATACTTTCACAAGCCACTGTAACTGTCTGAAGGAGGCGCTGGAATCCATCCACACGTCATAAAAAGCCCAAGTTTACTGTCACTGCAGGAACACATGGTAATACAATACACTCAAATGTTTTCTCTGCCTCTCTTTTACTATTGTTGTCGAGACCTGAAAAATGAAAGGCTTTCTGGTACAAAAACTGATGATTATCGGGGGGCGAGACCGCTAGCTCAGCTAGTCTCCCTCTGCTCTGGCAGTCCTTTCCTTGTCACACCCTGTAGAGCTGCTTGTCTGGGCTGGACGGGAAGAAGGGAGAGGGCTCAGAGGTTGGCGACGTAGCTTGGGGTAGGGATGTGTGGTTTCGGGTCCAGGGCTCAGCAGAGTGGTGATTAGAGATGGCCCAGGCATGGGTGGTCCGGGCTAGGGAACAAGGACCAGGCCTCATCTGCTGCCTCCCTGCAGAGTCTGTGAACCTACGCTTCCTGGGGCCAACCACTCAAACTAACCCACCACTCAATGTGCACACACAGGTTAATCAACAGCCTGGCTAGCTGTGAGGGATGACAACTTTGTCTGAAGTACTCTCATTGCACAACCATTAAACAAGTCACTCCAGTTTTGATTACATATTTACAGAGGATATATGATTGTGTGCAGCCCACAACAGCCTTTAAGTTACTATCTTTTGTTTGACAGTCATACCCCTAAAACCAGCCTTTAGAAAAGTGATGACATAAACAAAATATTGCAACCCATCCTTATCTGTAGCTTGGCTGGAGAGATGAACACGCATGTCACACACAATATATTTTCAGTGTAGTTCATGGAAGTCTGTATCTGCAGTTAATATTTGGTTAGGTCATTGTATAGTTGATTGCAGGTCCATGAATAGACCATGACAAAGACATAGAAGTGCATTGGGAACAACCATACTTTTCTAAATGACTCCTCTGCTCTTTCCTTCTCCAGAATTTCCGACCCATTAGCACTGGACCAATCACCAGTGGTTGCAGCAGCAGCTACAGCAGGGGGAACAACAGCAGCGGTTACAGCCGAAAACCCTCCTACACTCCCGAGCTGCCGCACCTCAACAACGGTACCTCCAAGCAGTCCAACAATGTGCAGTACAACAACCCAGCCGGCCTGTACGCACATAACAACGGCAGCAACGGAGACAGAGACAGGGTCTTGCCAAACCAAATGGCCGGCCTGAGCCTGAGTTCCCCTCACAGGTAAGGCATGTGGAGTGGAAAAGCCATTTGTTATCGCGTGGCCTCTCGGATGTGTGATAAATATGCGTGTTCTCCCAGGCTATAATCTGCAGTGCCCAGAGATCTCCTCTGGGCCCTGCTGTTTGTGCTGGCTGAGTCCACATGCACACGTGTCCCCCTCCCAAGGCCTCCCAGGGCCTCACAGTGAAATGTACCTTGTAGGGTCCCTCCGGAGTGGAGGAAGACCAAGTGCACTGTATCTTGACAGGATCAGAAAATATAGATCAGCCGTGCTGATCTTCACAGAGCAGTGCTAAATGTTAGGCACTATTGACAGAATGGAGCTTGAGGATTCTCTCTGGTGGGTTTTGTGGGCAGACTGTGAACAGCAAATGGTGTCTATCTCCTGTTTGGACTAGGAATACCAAGCTGGAATGGATGAACCAGCAGCATAGTTTACTTCAATCGAAAAAAATACCTTAGGCATAGAGTAGTTTCAAGATATTCTGGTATATTCACCTTGTCAGTGTGAATATGTCAATGTTAGGAGCACATTGGAAATAAGTGTTGTATAATGCTTTCATGTGTTGTACTCTAGATTTCAGTTGAATGCATTCAGTTGTACAACTGACTAACCCCTTTACCTTCCCTTTCTTTAAACTGCATTTCTTTTACCCCCAAAATAAATCAAGTCACAGCATTCACAAATTAAATCAATAAACAGTGCAACAGTTAGTGGAGACATTTCAGTCACAGAAGCTGTTGGTCACACTGAATTCAAACTAAAAACAACTTTATTTGTTTGTCTTCGTCTCTTTCAGCCCTGAGCCTCCGATGCATTCTCCTGTGGGCCGTAATGGAAACGGTCATAGTTTTGAAGTCACCACCGAGTCAGACGTGTACAAGATGCTGCAAGACACGGAGGAGCCAGTGTCCGCACCCAAACAGTCCGGCTCCTTCAAATACCTACAGGGCATATTGGAGGCAGAGGATGGAGGTACCCTTATTTGTTGCTCTACATGAGTTTCCATTTATTTAGCTGTTTGTATATGCCATTCACCCTACAGTTTACATATACAACATGCTTGTTTATGTATGTTAGATATATGTTTGTATATTTGAGCTAAATTGTTTTCTTCAGCAAGTGGAGCGTGTGATGTTTTCCAGCCACATGACTGTATGTGCACTGTATCACGCGTTGTCACTGAGAGTTGAGAGGAGAGAGAGCGTTGGCATAGTTTTCCTTTTATAGGCCGAGAGAGCTGAAAGTCAAATGATAAAGGGGGGGAAGCTTTCGTAAGCAAGTTTACTGCAACACAACCTTATGAAAGACAATAAACAGTGAAATATGACTTCCTGGTTTTTCTTTCAAACTGTTTTCCTTAGGAGTCGTGTGTTGTGTTTTCGTCAGTGTCATGGCCAGATCTCAGCTCCTCAAGGAGAACCCAAACAGACAGGCTAATCCACAGGAACAAGTCATGCTGTCTGTTGGAGCTCCTTGAAATGGTTTTGTATCAACACCAGTCCACGTTATTCTTTGAATTTGGCGCTAATCGCTTGCAGGTGTCAAAAAGGGATTAAGGAAGAGAGAAAAGTCAATAATGGTTTTAAACAGAATTAGATTAAACGGCACCGATTCGCCTCCTGCACAGTTGTTATTTTTTTTATGGCCGCAAAAGGCGTCATGGACACTGGGTTTAAGCTTCTGGTGTGATGCTTACACACCTTGGGGCTTATAAAAGACTCACCCTAAAGATCTGTCTGTTTGTGTTTGATGCTCTCCATATGTGGGAATGCTTGCTTTATCTTCTGCTGAAGGAGTTTTTTCTCTTTCTCAGCTCAGCTTTGACCTTTAGATGGAGATGAGCATTTGACTGCATGTGATATTGTCTTCCTCATCCTTTAAAAGGAATACGTTTTTGTTTTGAAAATGTCGGCATCCCGGGATTTCAAGGGAGCGCAAACATGAATGGCTGTTATGCTATAGCGCCATAGGCTCTGATCTGACCGTCTGTGGTGTCAGACAGTATGGAGGGTGAAAACAAGAGGAGAGGAGACGTTTACATGATGAGATTCTCAGTTTATTATTACACTGAACTCCCCAGCTATAGAAATCACTGAAGAATCCACCACTTATAGTGGTCAAAGATACTATATACATATAATGGTCGAAGACAGACATAGGAGGGAAGCAATCATGTATTTACAATGTACTTTACTTTTGAGGATGAGCAGATGTGACGCGCACATTGTACTGCCTGTAGTTGAACCCCCTGTGTAGGAGTGTAACCTTTGAGGTTGTTAAAAAAATAAGAAATATAGACAAGGGTACAGAATGTTTATTTTGTTTGTCTGTTTATCCAGAAATGTGAACCCCATTTGCCACTGCGGGTTGCTATCCGGTTTATAAAAAGCTGCTCTAATAAATGGGTGGAAACTCCCTTTTTCAGACAAAGAGCGCTGGATCCACAGCTTAGGGGGAACACAGGCTATGAACTTTATTCATAAAGACACGTCAGTAGTCTTTATGCATAAAGCTAGCTTAGCCTACTCAAACACCCGGCTCAAAAAGAGAGGGATGCTATGTTTAGCTAGCTGGCTATGGCTATCCAACATTGGAACTCTTCCAAGCCAAGGTAAGCTTTTGGTTTGATTAATTTATTGCCACCGGGGCCCGCCAGTGAAACTGCTAAACTGCTTGCTGCTGACTGTACACTGTACAGCATGATTGTAGTGTGTTTACTAATGCATTAGTTCTAGTAGCTATGTTGACTATGACGTTAATATAGTGACAACGATGTAAGCTGTGTGTAGGGGTTTAGCGATTATGATTTGGTTTGGAAATGTTTTTTGATGTGCACTGAAGTCCACAAGTGAAGGGAAAAGGTGAGAGGAGGAGAGTGCATAAATGTGAGAAGGAATTACAGTATACAACAGTCAAAGGGATCATGCTGTTTGTATGTGGCTGCTATGAAAGTGAACTGTGTTCGCGTGTGATCAGGGGTGTATTCATTCCGCTGATTCTGTCGGAAAAACATTTCTTAAACGGAAGCAAACTGAACAAAACGGGGAAAACATAACTGAATTTGTCCAATAGAAACTCTTGTTTGCAACTGTTGAACTAATGATTACACACTAGATCAGCTAGATGCAGGCAAGAGTGTGCAAGGTGGTATTAAATGTGTCAATGTTGCAAATGATATCAAATCAAATGTTATTTGTCACGTGAAGATATTTAGTAAATAAACTAAAGTAAAAAAAAGTTACACAATAAAAATAACAATAACAAGGCTATATATCGGGGGTACCGGTACCGAGTCAATGTGCGGGGGTACAGGTTAATCGAGGTAATTTAGGTAATATCTACAGGTAGGTAGAGGTAAACTGACTACGCATAGATAATAAACATCGAGTAGCAGCAGTGTCAATGCAAATATTCCAGTTATCCATTTGATTAATTGCGCAGCAGTCTTATGGCTTGGGGGTAGAAGCCGTTAAGGAGCCTTTTGGACCTAGACTTGACGCTCCGGTACTGCTTGCCGTGCGGTAGCAGAGAGAACAGTCTATGACTTGGGTGGCTGGAGTCTTTGACAATTTGTTGGGCCTTCCTCTGACACCATCTAGTATAGAGGTCCTGGATGGCAGGAAGCTTGGCCCCAGTGATGTGCTGGGCCGGACGCACTACCCTCTGTAGCGCCTTATGGTCTGATGCCGAGCAGTTGCCATACCAGGCGGTGATGCAACCGGTCAGGATGCTCTCGATGGTGCAGCTGTATAACTTTTTGAGGATCTGGGGACCCATGGCAAAAAAATCTGTCTCCTGAGGGGGAATAAGCGTTGTCGTGCCCTCTTCATGACTGTCTTGGTGTGTTTGGACCATGACAGTTTGTTGGTGATGTGGACACCATGGAACTTGAGGCTCTCAACCCGCTCCACTACAGCCCTGTCGATGTGAATAGGGGCGTGTTTGGCCATCCTTTTCCTGTAGTCCATGAAAGGCTCCTTTGTCTTACTCACATTGAGGGAGAGGTTGTTGTCCTGGCACCACACTGTGACCTCCTCCCTATAGGTTGTCTCATCGTTGTCAGTGTTCAGGCCTACCACCGTTGTGTCGTCAGCAAACATAATGATGGTGTTGGAGTCGTGCTTGGCCACGCAGTCATGGGTGAACAGGGAGTACAGGAGGGGACTAAGCACACACCCCTGAGGGGCCCCCGTGTTGAGGATCAGCGTAGCGGATGTATTGTTGCCTACCCTCACCACTTGGGTGTAGCCCATCAGGAAATCCAGGATCCAGTTGCAGAGGGAGGTGTTTAGTCCCAGGGTCCTTAGCTTAGTGATGAGATTTGTGGGCACTATGGTGTTGACTACAGCTCAGCGTTCAATCAACAGCATTCTCACATAGGTGTTCCTTTTGTCCAGTTGGGAAAGGGCAGTGTGAAGTGCAATAGAGATTGCATCATCTGTGGATCTGTTGGGGCAGTATGCGAATTGGAGTGGGTCTAGGGTTTCCAGGATGATGGTGTTGATGTGAGCCATGACCAGCCTTTCAAAGCACTTCATGGCTACCGATGTGAGTACTATGGGGTGGTAGTCATTTAGGCAGGTTACCTTGGCGTTCTTGGGCACAGGCACTATGGTCAGGGAGAGGTTGAAAATGTCAGTGAAGACACTTGCCTGTTGGTCCATGCATGCTCTGAGTATGTGTCCTGGTAATCTGTCTGGTCCCGCAGCCTTGTGAATGTTGACCTGTTTAAAGGACTTACTCACATCGGCTACGGAGAGCGTGATCACACAGTCGTCCGGAACAGCTGGTGCTCTCAAACATGCTTCAGTGTTGCTTGCCTCAAAGCGAGCATGAAAAGCATTTAACCCGTCTGGTAGGCTCGCGTCACTGGGCAGCTCGCATCTGGGTTTCCCGTTTGTATTCCATAGTAGTTTGCAAGCCCTGCCACATCCACCCGACGAGTGTCAGAGCTGGTGTAGTAGGATTCAATCTTAGTCCTGTATTGATGCTTTGTCTGTTTGATGGTTCGTCTGAGGGCATAGAGGGATTTCGTATAAGGGTCCGGATTAGTGTCCCGCTCCTTCAAAGTGGCAGCTCTAGCCTTTAGCTCGGCGCGGATGTTGCTTGTAATCCATGGCTTCTGGTTGGGAAATGTACGTACAGTCACTGTGGGGATGACGTCATCAATGCACTTATTGATGAAGCCGGTGACTGAGGTGGTATACTCTTCAATGCCATCGGATGAATCCCAGAACATATTCCAGTCTATGCTAGCAAAACAGTCCTGTAGCTTAGCATCTGCGTCATCTGACCACCTCCGTATTGAGCGAGTCACTGGTACTTGCTGCTTTAGTTTTTGCTTGTAAGCAGGAATCAGGAGGATAGAATTATGGTCGGATTTGCCAAATGGAAGGTGAGGGAGAGCTTTCTACGCGTCTCTGTGTGTGGAGTAAAGGTGGTCTAGAGTTTTTTTTCCTCTGGTTGCATATGTGACATGCTGGTAGATATTAGGTAAAACTGATTTAAGTTTGCTTGCATCATAGTCCCCGGCCACTAGGAGCGCCGCATCTGGATGAGCATTTTCCTGTTTGCTTGTGGCCTTATACAGCTTGTTGAGTGCAGTCTTAGGGCCAGCATCAGTTTGTGGTGGTAAATAGACAGCTACGAAAAATATAGATGAAAACTCTCTTGGTAGATAGTGTGGTCTACAGCTTGAAGTACTCTACCTCAGGCGAGGAAAACCTTGAGACTTCCTTAATATTAGAGATCGCACACCAGCTGTTATTGACAAATAGACCACCACCCCTTATCTTACCGGAGGTACTGTAGCTTTTCTGTCTTGCCAATGCACGGAAAACCCAGCCAACTGTATATTATCCATGTCGTCGTTCCGCCACGACTCGTGAAACATAAGACATTGCCGTTTTGAATGTCCAGTTGGTAGGATAGTCTTGAACAGTGCTCATCCAGTTTATTCTCCAGTGATTGCACGTTGGCCAATAGGACGGATGGTGGAGGCGAGTTACCCACTCGCCGACAAATTCTCACAAGGCACCCGGACCTGCGGCCCCTGTATCTCTGTCTCCTATTCATGCGAATTACGTGGATTTGGGCCTGGTCCGGGAGTAGCAGTATATCCTTTATGTCAGACGCATTAAAGAAAAAACCTTTGTCCAGTTCGAGGTGAGTAATCACTGTTCTGATATCCAGAAGCTCTTTTCGGTCATAAAATACTGTAGCAGAAACATTATGTGCAAAATAAGTTACAAACAATGTGAAAAACACACAAAATAGCACAATTGGTTAGGAGCCCGTAAAGCGGCAGCCATCCACTCCGGCACCATTCAGGATTTCTAAAATTTCTCTTGACCTGTGCACCTACATTGTAAACTTTCATTCATAGGCTAGGTTGTGGCAACCTCATGATGGGTATAGGGAAAATTAGAGTATCATGTGCTAGCCTAAACCTATCGATGTTACATTGATTTGGCTGAATGGAATATGAATAACAGTCATCCAATATGCTTTAATAGAAATAAGGCAATGCTCATTAAAAATAAATCTTCCTCCCTCTTGTTAAATGGCACCGACCGCCACTGGTATATACTGTACAAGTCCTATGACTAAACCTCCCTCGTACAGTATTTGTGAGAATCCCATGAGAACTCCTGACTAGAACATAGAAGAGACGGCAATGATGACTAGATACTTATGTAATACAGCAACCTGGACTCCAACTGAACATAGAAAATGTAAATCCGGGACACTCCAATGAATATGATATGTTAAGTTTCGTATGGTAGATATTAATTTGTGGCTGTCCATCATCCATTACGTATGATATGTTACGAATTGCATTTATTACAATATTTTACGAATTGCAATTCGTACAATATGTTACGAATTTGTACAATATGTTAATGAATTTGCAAAAAGTATGATATGTTATGAATTCCAATTTGTTGTCACTAATGTTAACTAGGTGGCTAACTCTAATGTTAGCTAGGTGGCTAACGTTAGCTAGGCTAGGTGTTAGGGTTAGGGGTTAGGGTTACATTTAGGGTTAGGAGTTAGGTTTATGGGTTAATGTTAGGGTTAGGGGAAGGGTTAGCTAACATGCTACATAGTTGCAAAGTAGCTAAAAAGTAGTAAGTAGTTGCAAAGTTGCTAATGCTAAAGTTGTCCATGATGAGATTCGAACACACAACCTTTGGGTTGCTAGACATTCACGTCTACCCATCCTCCCCGACCAACCACCCTACTTTCATTTTAGCCTTAAGTAAGCTTCTGTCTTATGTAACCATACCAAACGTAACATATCATACTAATTTGAGTGTCTCTTTATTTACATTTACTATGCTACGTCTAGTCTATGAGACCAGGCTGAATACAGCAATTATTACTGTAAAAATAGACCCTGTTATTACTCCAACCTCTTAAACGGTCACGGCATTAGTGTTTAAGTGTTGGAGTGATGTAAACTTCTTTGTGCCAGGTAGTTCACCAGTGTGGTGAGTAGGCCATGCCAGAGCCAGGGGCAGTGGCGTGCTGAGTTAATGGGGCCTGCTGGCACCTCATCACTCCGTGGTTCAGGGAGAGTGTGATTGTAGCACTCTGGTGTGATGATGGTCTAGGCCTTAATGTGAAATATTTGCTCTGCCAGGCAGCTGCCTCTCTCTCCTTTCCTAATTGATGTGTTCCTGCTGTGTGCCAGGATCTCGCATCAGCCCTGGCATCCCTGACATGTGAACAGAGGGAGAGAGTTAGGGAGTGAGAGGTAGAGAGGCAGAGAGAGGTAGAGATAGGGAAAGGTACATAGAGGTGTGGAGGTAGAAAGAGAGAGGGAGCGATACTGTAGGTAATACAGTACAGAGAGTGGGGGGGGGGGGGGGGGGGTTGTATGGTATGGTAGAGTGAGAGAATGGGGTAGAGAGGCTGGCAATGTGTGAGCACCACCCTGGCCCTCTGCCTGTACCCATGCCATGCCCGCCGAGGTTAACACACACCAGTGAAGGGAGTGCTTACTGAGGAGTCATGTCTCTGTTGTGGACAGTAGCTGACCTTGGTGCCTCCCTGAGTCAAGTGTGAACACCATTCATTCTTCCATCTCCATGCTTTCACCCATGGCTGACCGCTGCCTTTCTAGCTCTCAGATACTGGTGTAGGGTGAAGTTGCCCCTAAATGCTGATCTTGGGTCAGTTTAGCATTTTATCCAACTGATATCTAAGATTAGGATTGGGGGAGAGGAAGCTGATCCTAGATCTGTACCTAGACGAAACATCACCCCGGAGCACTAAGTTGATTTACAGTACTTGGAAATAAACTTGTCTTAACTGCGCTAAATAAGTTGAATAAATTATTCTTATTCTTATTCTTTTAATTTATTTTTTAACTGAGGTGTTATGTTATTTTGTGTGTCTGTGTCCACAGGTGTGTCCCCCACTGATATGTCTGGAGTGAGAGGCCTGAGAACCCCGGACCGATCCCCAGTCCCTAAACTGGGCAGCCCCATCCCCGGCCTACAGAAACTCCCCCAGTGCACGCGCTGTGGCAACGGCATAGTGTAAGTCAAAAAAACTGAGATGACGCTTTACACTAGGAGTGTGTCACAAATAGCACCCTAGTCCCTATATAGTGCACTACTTTTGACCAGAGACTACATAGGCCAGGGGATAGGGTGCCATTTGGGACATAGTCTAGTCCTGCTCCAACAGGCCCAAGCTAATAGCAGAGAGGGAAAATGATCTCCATATATCACTTTGAATGATTAAACCTCTGTGCCACGCCCTCCTCCTCAGGAACCCAGAGATGCCAGTAATCCCCACACTGTTAAAGCACCATGGGTAAACAGTGATGTCATTTGAACAAGAGACTGTTGTGGAGGCTTAGTACCATGGATCTGTTATATAGAGTGTTTACGCAGGGTTTTTTAGGCAGGGCACTAATGCATTTACCTACTGTAATAGGCAGTAGCGGTTAGGATAAAGGCCCGGATACAGGGGATATTCAAATTCAACCAATGAGTTCTGGCTGTTGTGAAGCTATATAACCCTTATTGGCAATGCAAATACCCACATCCATGAATAGCATACTGGTCACTTGAATACACAGTGACATAGTTAAATAAGCAAATGCTAATCAAATAGCTCTTTATTTATATAACCTTGAGAATCAATTATCTTTGACATTGGGCACTTTGTGACAACTGCTGATGTAAAAAGGGCTTTATGAAATACATTTGATTGACTGGGAACCACTTATCTTTGACATGACACTACCAACCTGGTTATGTTCTGTCCATATAGGGGCACCATCGTGAAGGCCAGGGACAAGCTGTACCACACAGAGTGCTTCATGTGTGACGACTGCGGCATGAACCTCAAGCAGAGGGGCTACTTCTTCATCGAGGAGAACCTGTACTGTGAGACCCACGCCATGGCCCGCGTACAGCCTCCTGAGGGATATGACGTGGTCGCCGTCTACCCCAACTCCAAGGTTGAACTGGTCTGAACTGGTCTGACTCTCAACACAACCCCCCTCAGACATGTGCCTGCAGTCTTATCCACAGCTCCCAGCCAGTGTACATTTTTTCCATTTCCAATGCACTACATGTCCAAGCTGTTGTCGGAAAATATCAGTTTTGAGTGGGATACTGAAGAGTGGGAAAATGGAGTGTGCAAAGGTTTTAATCTCTCTTTAACTCTTTCACACTAACAGCATACTATTCCTATTTCGGACGGATTAACATTTTTACACTTGCTGAGTTAAAAAAAATAATGTTTTATTCAACTTATTTTACTAAAATGGGGGGCTTTTCTTTGTGTCAATAGCACTTTTAGATCATGTTGAAACAAGCAATATTCAACCGAATGACATCTCACATCTTGGGATGGTTTTCTATTTTTAACTCTGCTGACTATAATACAGATAGTGGAATGGAATTAGGGTCAAGCACCTGACTGAGAATGGAATCCACTGCTTCTCACACTGTTACTGCTACAATTACAGAACCCCAGCTTTATTACATCTGTTGAAGTGCATTCCAGTGCCACACGAGAAATCCTTTTGTCTCTCTACTGTAGCAGCTTTTAAAAAGCTGTGTGGAGCAAAGACACAGGACAAGGCCATGGAAAACATTGAAATCCAGCCCGTGAATCTAGAAACATATGGGAATAATATACATTTGTTGAGTGTTTTTTAGGCACATTTTGTTGAAACAGACAGTGCTTGTTGGCTAAGGGACAGTATTTGAAAGAGTTTATCGTTTTTTTCTTGTTTGATTTTAACATATCTAGTCACAGCCAGGTTCACTGAATGAATCAGACTTCTACATTTCCAAGGAGTGAGGGAAGGAAGGCATTTATGTGCTTTTGGAAGTGACAAAAATATTCGTGTTGGGAGCAAAAAGTCTGTGTTGGATGAATTATGATCACTTACATTTGTGGCCATGTACATAATCATGCAGCCTGAGGGACAGCAAACAGTGGACTGAAACAGTTGGATGAAAAGCACTATTTTAATTTGAATGAAAAACTCAATCTCAAAGTGCTTGTTATTCGATATCCACCGTGACCCTAATGTTTAGCTACTGCAATGCCAACTAGGACGGTAGTTCTTTGTAAATTATGTGAAATCATGATGTTGGTGTTTTAGTTCTAATTGTACATATTTGTTTCGTCATGGCTGTTTAATAAACATAACTTGTCACTCTGCCTTCACATCTGTTTCATTTAAGTGCTTACCATGTTTAGTCACAGAATCCTGTCATTTTTAACTTATTGTTTTGTTGACACATTTTGTTCTGGTTTCTTCTATTTGTTTTTTAAGATATAATAAAGTGAAAAAAGTTTTTAAATCATACCCATGATTGAGACATTTTTTTTACAGGCATGCTGTATTTATTGTGGAATGTTTTGAGAGTAGTAGTTTAGCTTGCCTGTGGACACACAACATAGATATAGCAAGGGGTTCAATTTTGTGGATTTGTATATCCTGGCTATGACAAGGCACTCTACCCAAAGCAGGTATTCAGACCTACAGCTCGGAGTGAAGGCTTGTGTTCCAAATGGCACACTATTTCCTACATAGTGCACTGCTTTCCCGCTGGGTACAGATGTCAATTAAACTTCTATTCCACGTTGGTGCAACGTCATTTCATTGACATGACGTGGAAACAACGTTGATTCAACCAGTGTGTGCCGGGTGGGTTGGTGCCATTTAGGATGCACACAAATTGACTGATCCAAACCCAGAGACATCCACTTCCTAGAGACCTTATACTGTATTTCACTGTGTGAAATTCTGGTGCCACAAAACCAGTTTCATGTTTTCATAGCATTGTCTCTTACAATATGTTTAGGGCCTGTGAGAACAAGTACTCCATGTTTCAATTTGTCACAAGCAGACTTTGAACACACAACTGCCTTTTTTGATTATGTTCAAAGTGTGGCATCCAAAACCTACACATAATGATTTCCCTCACATTTTACCCCCACAAAATGTTTGTTGAGAAAATTGTGGGGCACTTGATGTAACATGAGAAGCTTGTGGTTTGCTTAAGATCGAATGTCAAGTTTACCATACAGTTATGATGTATGGCTGAGATTCAATGGTTTACTATAATCAGAAACAGAAGGCAGGGGAGCTCTTCATACCCCATTAAATATGGCTTAACGCCTTATTAACAACCACAATAGCTGCAGAGAGAGAGAGCGAGAGCGGAAGGTAGGGAGAGCAAAGGGGGAGAGAAGGAGAGAGCGAAAAAGAGGGGAAGAGAGATATAGGGGGAGGGAGAGAGAGAAAGGAAGACAGAAATTGGTCTGTTTTGGAGTCCCAGTTATTAATTTAAATGATTCAGTGAATATAAGAGTGATGTGGTTTAGCAACGTGGCCAACAGTTAGTGACAAATCCAAGGCTTTGAACACTCATCTTAATAGGCATAGGGTAACGTTTTCCACATTGGTGACACATATTTTATGCTGCTGGTCACAAGTCAATCCCCAAACAGCAGCAGCAAGGAACATTGCGTTTAAGAAGTCATCTCATACTTTAATCATGCATGGAGAACATGATAAAGACTTCTGACTTTGTCTAAAAGAAAGCTTTCACCGAAGCTTCAAATATTTCACCATTAGGGTTAGAATGCATTACTCTTTTCATCCATATATTTGCTGCACAGTAGCATGTACATTTAAATGGAATCTAGTTTAATAATAGAGATACCAGAGGCACATAAACACTATGTATGTAGTAATGAAGTGACTTAATGTGACAGAGAGAGGGAGAGATACACAGAGTGAGAGACCTTAACTCCATGGAAAGAATTCTGAGCTCCAGTGTTTCAACTCATCTCAGTTCTACTCTAAACACTGAGCCCGAGCTGAAGATAAACACTTAATGTCTCTCAGTAACTGTCTGTGTTGTGTATTGTGGCCAATGTCACTTCTTCAGCATCAGCTAGCTAACTGTCCATCAGAAAACGTAAGTTGATGTGAGGAGTTTGTTGGGAGAGCTTCAAACCTAGCGACGAAACCCCCAAAACCATGACCTGCTTCTGTGATGCATATACAAAATCTAAGCGAATTATCTTTCATTGAATCAAGTCTAACACCTAAACAAATAAATATTTTCTTCCAAGGCTCAGAGGGAGATAAAAGTGCTGTATCTGTCCTCTCCCTCCACATTCCCTTGGTGTAATTCATTTTCTTGTTTTATTTTATTTAACCTTTATTTAACTAGGCAAGTCAGTTAAGAACAAATTCTTATTTACAATGACGGCCTGCGGGGACGGGGCCTGGGATTAGAAGGCACTCTACCCACAGCATGTATTCAGACCTACAGCTCAGAGTCAAGGTTTGCGTTCCAAATGGCACACTATTTCTTACATATTGCACTGCTTTCCCACTGGGCACAGACGTCAATTAAACTTATATTCCACGTTGGTGCAACGTCATTTCAATGACATTACGTGGAAACAATGTTGATTCAACCAGTGTGTGCTCAGTGGGTTGGTGTCATTTGGGATGCACACAAATTGACTGATCCAAACCCAGAGACATCCACTTCCTAGAGACCTGAAATTCATGAACAGGATCAAATAGGAATGCAGCTCATTCACTTGATGTACAGGATTCCTGTCAGTCCATTGTGCTTATGTAGCCCACTGTCATTTGGGCTTGGTTCTATTTAGTGTCTGAAACCAGGCCTCAATCATTCATCCAGTCACTCCATCTCTCTTTTTCTTCAGTACATTCCTCTCCTCCCCTTCCATATGGTACAACTTGTTTTTTCTAACAGCTATGATTTGTAGTGGCTTATTAGATGAGAGCCTGGCCTCAGAGCCATACGAAACATACTTTACATATTTCTGAGCACCTCCAAGACATATGATACCCACTAACGGTGTAGTTACTTGAGACAGAAACAAAAGTAGGGAGGTTGGTCTAAGAGGATGGGTGGGCGTAATCAGTGACAGTCTAGCAATCCAAAGGTTGCATGTTCGAGTTGCGACTGGCACAACTGCAGCATTTTAGCTAACCCTTCCCCTAACCCTTATTATAAATGTAACCCAATTCAACTAACCAATTGCATAAATTCACCTAACTTTTGTTTTTTTAGTTCTCCTAACCTGTGTCGTTACATGTCTATGTGTCTATAAGCACATAACATAATTCTCCTTTGTTGCTACAGCGCAACAAGCAACCTGGTCTCAGATAAAGATGTGCAATACTATACATCCCCCAAGAGGTATGATAAAGTACTTCATCCAATTTGTATGATATTGTACGACCGGGTCAGACGTGTCACACTATACGTCCCCTAATTTGTATGATATTGTACGACCGCTATTCCATTCATAAGGTAACCTAATGTAAAATATTATACTGAATGGATTGTCACAGATTTACATACAGAATAGTACAAATTACCCTGAGATCCCATTGCTGTGAAACCTGGGGTTAAGCACTCTACATACTAGGGTATTAAAGAGTGGCATGTCAGCTATTCCCAATACACCATCAGAACAATGCAGCTTGAAAGATGCAGCTGAACTTGAATGCAGCTGAATGCAGCGGAATTAAAGAGTTTATAATGAGTTGGAATTATCTTCCTATATGATCATTCTTTGAAAAAGTTCCATTTCCAAAATGTTCGAAGTGAATACATATAGTAATGTCATGGTGTGTAAACATAGTTTGGATGATGGAGAGGTTATAGATAGAAACTATTTATCTCTCTCTCTCTCTCTCTCTCTCTCTCTTCAGTATCAGAGGACGCAACTTCTGAGATGCAACCAAATTCCATTCCAATACTCCTGTCACACAATATAAGAGAACACTTGAGAAGATGCTTATTTGATACTTACACGCTTTGCAAATAACACTTACGTTTAGATTGCAATATTATGCAATACGAGAACGCAATATTAACAAGGCTAGAGGAGCATCATGCCCCATCTTGTGCGTTTGCTTTTTTTTGTAACCATGTTTATACCACCCACTGTATTACA